CCTGAATAGCCAAACCAAGTCAATGTTACACAAACACCTTTTTCGTGCATTCCACGTAGTGTGAACCGGCGCTGTATACAATCAACCTTTAACTTTCCTCTTTGAATGAATTGGTATTCAGTTTGAACTCCACGGGAAGGAGGAAGAGAGGTATTATGTTGCAATTTACTGAAACGGGGAGGTGTGGTTTTCCATAGATAATATGTCTTCCGAGGCAAAGAATCCTTCTGGCCATACCATTCGATTCGCGATTCTGCAAGTCCAAGGCAGAATAATTATGAGGTATTATTATACTGATAGGGCAATGGTAGACGGTGAGTATGGAGGAAGTAATTGACAACAGTCATATCAACTAGCCAATAAAAGATAGGAGGCCAGTTCTGTAGGCATTTCAGTTGAGTGAAATAAGAACTGCGGTACTGATCCGCAATGTCAACTCCGATCTTGTACCTATTATAGTCACTGGTAATGACTAGAATCGGAATATTTATGTGCTCTCCAGGTCTAAAGACTCAGCAAATTACAGGCCTATTACTACTCAATATTCTGGGCTTTTTGCATTCTGTAATAACTCATTGATCAAGTGTGTGAATTGTTGTTAAAAAGTGAACTGGACTATTATCCTGCCACTGAATATCCAAGACCTTGCCCTCATATCCAACCGGACCTCCAGAAATCTCGTTCCAAGGAATTGATTTTCAGTTGTTATAGAGTTCTGGTAAAAATGCCCCAGCATTTACACATGCTGTTCCATACCCCCTAATACCCATATCACGAAGTTTTGTAAGAAGAGTCAGCGAGGAAAAATAGTTATCCATGTAAATATTGAAATGGAGCTCTGAACTATGTGGAAGAGAGGAGGCCAGCTGAAAAACTGTTGAACCAGTAGGGGTAAGATCTTTTTGAAGAACTAGGTCGGTAATTGAACTTGTTCATGATACAAAAATCCAGCTATATGTATAGCCAATATCATAAAGTGCGAACACCTTGTAGCCTTCCGTGATCAACTTCCTTAGCATGCGGCATGTATGTTGACTACGTCCACCAAATCGAATTATTATTTCATCCACAGTCACATTTGATGCTGGGAGGTAGTATTGCTAACGCCAAGTTTGAATCATAATATTGAGAGATTCTAGCTTCTCAAACTACTCGGAATTGGTGAGTTGCAATACTAGATATGAAATATACAAATATCATTTAATCTGGGAAAAGCATTTGAAAGACATCGCTTAAAATGTTGTGTTCGCATTATCTCTCCTATCTTAAAATGTCTTCAAACTAAGTCCACCCCCCTTTTTTGCTCCCATATGAATTGATAGGGCCAAAAAGAGCTTAATCTCATAGGTAGTTACTTTCCTCTATGCTCGGCCAAATGGCCTCCCAACTTCTGACTCTTTTCCTGTACTCTTTTCCTTCACATACTGGTTTGTTCCTACTACAAGTACATCGATTACGCTATTGTCCCAAAATAACTCTAATATTTCTAGTAGATCTGCCTTACAGTCCTCCCAAGGCAATAATGGTTGACAAAAGTGATCATGACAGAGAAAAAGTGGGGTATATAGTTTCTGGATAGCTTGAATACCTGATGCAGATTTGTGTGCTTTTGCAAGCTTTTGGGATCGTACTTTTGAAGCTCTTGGTTTTCATGGGACGGGCAAATTAGAAGAAAGATCAGAAAGAGGTTCTCATACTTGAACAAATCTCAACATTGTAGGTATTTCACGATAGTTTAACATCAAATCCATATCTGACTGGTAATGTTACAACATTGCTCTCTAGCTAATCCTTTTGTGGTCTAGTGTTTCTTATAATAGACATTGTATGCCTGGTCCTAAATTTTACTATTTTAGACTGCCCAAGGGATAGACATGGCAAGTCTAAAGAGAATATACCATTTGATTCAGCTTTATGAGGGTATCCTAATAAGGTATAGTACATCCATATCTGATTGCTGGTTGTGAAGTTAATTATCCTCCTGACACTTTCTGTCTAGTATCAAATATTTTCTTCTGGAAAGCTAACTTGGCCTACAGGCATCACCTGTATAAGGGCCATATACTATTGAATTCAGCTCAACAAGGCTATCCTAATGAGCTATGCTACATCCTAATGTGACTGCTGGAAATGAAATTCATCCACCTTTAGACTTTTTTTGTCTACAGTGAATTATTTTCCATAGATTCTTGAAGACATTCTCTGTATTTGACTACAGGTTAATTCTTCTAAAATACCAAGGTAAAATTCAGTAGCGTCCGGCAGACTAGGCCACATATACTCCACATCCAGTTCATTGTGGGCATTTAGCTGCATCTGATGCATCTGGCTCTGTGCATCCAGAATGGGAGTTTATGTTTGACTTGTCCCATGCATCTGATGTACCAGATACACCGGACACAAAGTATTATTTTTGCTGATAAAGTAATGTAACTACAAGAATACTTTCTTAAAATAACCAGGTTTTTTTATTTATGTCAAAGCACAACTTTTTCTCCTAAATGAATAAGTTATTTAAAAATAAAATAATTCTATAAAAATTTAATTTCAAGTTTTATATTTTGTATATATTTAGAAAACTATAGTGTTTTTTTTTTAAAAAAAAAAAAATACTCATAATAATATTATTATGTATGTTCTAATAAAACCAGACTAATAGGTATTAGTGTATTCACTACCTCCCATGGTCTCAATTTCTTATCAGCTTTGTGGCCATACTAGTAGTATTTTTTCTGAAGTCTCGAAATATCTTATTTTTCAAGGAATTCTTCAAAGAAATCACATATTTCTCCATTAATACAATTTGATATATATAAGATAAGAGAGATTTTTCTTCAACACAATCACCTTTTCCATTACTTATAAAAATATATAAAAGCCCCAATACGATGATTGATACAGGGAATTGCCAACAAGTACAACATTGAAATTATATCGTGGTCATCTTCAACACAGTACTTACAGAAAGGGGAGAAGCACAGATATTAGAACCGACAAAGCCTCTCCTGTCCTTGCAAAGAAAGCATGATAAAAGTAGCGAGACAGGTGGATCTGGGACGTTCCAGCATGAGATTAGTGATGTGTAGCGCTCCGCGACAAACATGTGGGGAGGGGAGGGGGTTGAAAATCTATCATGTACCATTACTCAAATGCCATTTTTTGCACAATGTCCCAAAGCCCCATGCCGTAGTCAAATGAGGTTGCACGAAAGTATACCGGTACTCTATGTATCTTCTGCTACATCATAGCTTGAAATGATGTAATAAGCCTTAAAACTTTGCTGGTTCGATGAGAGTCCTTCTGTCGCACTTGCATCATCAATACCAAGCTTTCCCCTGTCGAGGCCATACGGCGTAGAACGGTGTTCCACGCTCTAGCACCCTGTGCTTGTGCTACACTAGAGCACAAAAGATAATACCGGTATGGCTTTGAACTTTTTTTCAAAGTCCGAATATTCTCGGGTGGTATGGGTCTTACCCATCATATGATACAAACAACAAACGAGAAGCGTGGTGCCCGAACACAGGAATTACAAATATATGGCCCATGATCCGTGCTTATCTGAGTCCCCGTGCCGGTACTAAAATCAGAGACTAACATTTAAGTACTTCGTGCCTGTTGCCTATAAGTTACATACACGTCCCGGACCATAAGCACTTGAAAAGAGAAATTCGAGTATATGGTAAAATATTTGCATATACCGAGCGCTCATTCAGATTATACACCCCTTGTTGTCGGGCCCTGGTGACCGGGGACGAGTAGCGTACTGTACAAGTACGAGTACGAGTACATGTGCCATTGTCTCATCTAAAGTTGGTCGATGAGGATTAGCCAATCCACGGGTTTGTGACCTCGGAAGATTGATCAAGCAACTGGAATGAATCCCGGAAGATTATCGGCCAAAGTGGAAACCCTGGATCTTCCCTGAAACAGAACACTTATATGATATCCCGGGGAGTGGGAGACCTGGGAGTGTAGATGTTCACACATAATTGTTTGTGCTGATTTAAGTTACTCCATAAAATTGAGGGTCAAATACTGTTTGGTGTCATAACATTCTCACGGGTCGTGGAACTATGAAACAAAGTGATGCGCAAAGATGGGTCCTGTTTGGCGTGCCGGGGGGATGTCGTTTTTCCTGCTTTTATGGCGAGTGAAGTGTTCTAACATTGCACTTTCTTGGCTATAGTTCAACTTATTATAGCTCAATATAGGCCTCCTAATCGATCCCCGCTCTCATCACAACGGTCGGTAAGGTTCTATCTCCATGGGGGGTTTTTTTGTGCCCCCCGGTCAAAGGAATTCATAAATTCGTAAATTTAAGTATGATAATTGAAATCGAGGTTTTAATCGAAGATAAATAATTGAATTGTCTCGAGGCCCCCTTTCTCGCCGGAGACCCCGATTCTTAGCCTTCTCTGCTAGAGTACAGTACCGGTACTATATCTAGACTATAGTACTGTACTTTACAAAAAGCCATCGCAATATCATAATAGATTGTCCTATGATGCGAGTCCCTCGTAACTCCTTGCGTTACCCGACCCACCAGAATTTACTGAGTGGTGCACCCACACTTCACAATCCGTGATACTTGTATGATACAGCAATTCACTTGATTAGTGTGCAGGGCAGCGAATCTCCTTTTCTTTTCTATATTAATCAACGCCACCATACAAAAAGTTTCATCAATCCCCCTTCAAAATATTTTCCTGCTTTTGCCATCTTGCTTCTTTAGCTTTCTTTGTTCTTGTTGAATGGGAGACTCATCAGACTAGCTTTCAAGGACCATCTCACCTCACCGCTTTCTCCAGCTTTGTTACTTTTCCTCATCTTCCTCCCCTTTCCTTTTTTCCGCCTCCACTCGTCCGTTAAGATGGCAGCGAATAGTCGAACCTTACGGTTCATACTATTAGCTTTCTTCGTGAGTAAAACCTACCAACCCACCCCCCCCTCTCGCGGAGCCATGAAGCATTATTTCGCTTTTTCTATCTGGCGCGTGCGCTTACACATTTAAATCTGGATTAGTCGATAGCTGTCCTTTTCAAAGTATACACTTCAAACTACCATGCCGGGACACCACTGGTGGACGTCGAGAAGATCGCCGAGCAACAGCATGCGCAGGATTCATCATCTTCCCCATCGCAATCCAACGGCAATAATGGGTTTTCCTCGAACCCTGCAAGCGGCCTCCCGGCTGGAGTTCATGCCGGAAAGCGCGCGAACGCTACGTTTGTCACGCTGGCGAGGAATAGCGATGTCTGGGAGATTGCAAAGTCTATTAGACATGTTGAGGATCGTTTCAATCGGAAGTTTAATTACGACTGGGTTTTTCTGAATGACAAGCCTTTCGATTCGCAGTTTAAGAAGGTTACTTCCGCGCTCACTAGCGGGAAGGCGAAGTACGGGTTGATTCCACACGAGCACTGGAGTTTCCCGGATTGGATTGATCAGGATAAGGCGAAGAAAGTTAGAGAGGATATGGTGAGCCTCCCCCGCTTTCAGTCTTTTGTGTTTTCTCCGCTCTGCTTGCTTTTGAAAATGGGTCTTTTGGTTTGTTTTTATTTGGTGTTAGGAAGCTAATTCCCGATCGATTTGTGTTTCAGGCCCAGCGAAAGATTATCTACGGCGATTCCATCCCTTACCGACACATGTGCCGTTACGAATCCGGTTTCTTTTTCCGACACGAGCTTTTGCTTGACTACGAGTACTACTGGCGCGTGGAACCATCTATCGAGCTGTTTTGCGATGTCGATTACGACGTCTTCCGCTTCATGGCCGAGAACAAGAAGAAGTACGGCTTCGTCTTGTCACTGTATGAATACGTCGAGACTATCCCGACACTCTGGGACAGTGTCAAGAGTTTCATGAAGGAGCATCCGGAATATATCAACCCGAACAATGCAATGGGGTTCCTCAGTGACGATGGAGGAGAAACCTATAACCACTGTCACTATTGGTCCAATTTCGAAGTCGGCAGTCTGGATTTCTGGAGGGACAAGGCATACATGGATTTCTTTGAGAAGCTAGATAAGGATGGTGGATTCTTCTATGAGAGATGGGGCGATGCTCCGGTTCATAGTATTGCAGCCAGTTTATTTCTGGATAAGTCGCAGATTCACTTTTTCGATGACATTGCGTACGGAACCCTACATAAGTGTAACCCCTACGATTTTCGGGAGCTAATGCACATTACTGCAGCTACTACCATGTGCCTTTCACCCATTGTCCTACTTCCGAAAAGGATCGACTGAAGCATAAGTGCCATTGTAATCCTAAGGATAACTTTGACTGGAAGGGTATGCTATACCTACTGATTTTACTCGATAGCTGAAAACTAATAAACCCTTAGGTTACTCCTGCTTATCCCGCCACTTTGAAATAAACAGCCTGGAAAAGCCAGAAGGATACGAGACACAAATGGACTAAGCGACACCAAATATCTTTTTTTTTTTTTTTTTTTTCTTTTGTTTCAACCACCATTTCCGCTCATATTTGTTTAAATTCTATGGCGCCACGCCGAAACGTAGGGATATCCGGACGGGTCTTTAAAGCACGAGTTTTGTGTAGTACAAACAAAAGGAAGGGAAGGAAAGGAAAACAGGGAGGAAGGAATGGCCGGTTTTGACGAAAGCTACGAACCCGATGTTCTGCGAGGGTGATACCGTTAACTACAGGGGGAAGAGGGAGAATGTGGTAAACGGAACCGATAATTGGTCTATCAAGTTTATTTTCCGCGTTCTTGTGCGATGTACGAATGCAGTTGGGAAAGAAGGTGTGTGAAGGGGGTAAGGGAATATTTATAGTAATTTTATACAGAGTGACAATTGATGAAGAAAATTATATTGACGCCATCGCCAGGGTCCAAATCATTGAAGACTCGGTCCAATTCAATTGGATTCAATTTCAGCTCAATTGCCTCCTATAACCCCTTCTTTGGCTTCTTTGTTCCGTACCTGCAAGCGCATTCCATTAGTCCCATACGTTCGAGACCAAGCATGGAGAGAGGAAAAGGAAGAAAATACTTTGACCGTGAAGTAGACCTATTCGGCACACCGCCCTAACCCCCCCACACAAAAAAAAGTCAACACAAAGACCCCCAAAGAACCAAAGAACCAAAGGTGAAGGGGCGGGTACGAGAGAAGAGGAGAGAAGAAAAGAAAGAAAAACATACCAAATCCAAAGCCCCACGAATCAAATGATATTTAACACCCGGACAATCCTGCGACCTCCCACCACGAACAAGGACGACAGAATGTTGCTGCGCGTTATGCCCTAAAACCGCCGCCGCCCCACCACCAATTAGCCAAACCTCACTTCCTCCCTTCCCTCCGGGAGTGAAAATCAAGCCAACCCACCTTCGCCAGGAATGTAAGCCGTGACAACCTTATCGCTGCTGAGCCGTACCCGCGCCACCTTGCGCTCGGCGGAATTCGGCTTCTTGGGCGCCATGACGAACACCTTCAGGCACACGCCCTTCATGCACGGGTTGTGCGTCTCCGACATGGCCGGCGATTCCGGCTTTCGCTTCGGTTGCGGCTTGCGGCAGCCGCGGCGGACTTGGTTGAATGTTGCGGCGGGGTGCGAGGTCGCGGTGAAGGTGCGAGGTGCGGCCGCGGTCGCGGTGCGGGGGAGGAAGCGCCAGAGGGGGTGGAGGGTGAACATTGTTGTTGGTGTTGCAGCGGGGATTGGTGGGGTGGGGAGGTTTTTTTTTATATATATATTTTTTGGCGGGAGTCCGTCCGGTTTTGATGTTTTGGTGTGGATGGTTGAGGTTTGGTGGAGTTGAAGGTAGGGTAATATGTACTGATGGACCAAACTCTCCGTCATGGATTTCTACTCGGAGAGTTTTTCTCCAACACAATCTACCATCGCAACTATTGTATTTATTTCCATCGGTGCTCTTGCATCTCACGCCGACTCAACTCGCCACTCTCTCACCACTCACATCAAGCTTATCATGCACCTCTTGGAGAAGGGAAAAACCCGGATACGCTTTCCTGAGTAGATTCCTCCCATATCCACTACGCGGATGCAATGGAAGGAAGCCACAACACCGTAGCCAACGAATGATATAATATATTATGACATGGTATTTTTTATTTCTTCTTTACCCACCTCCCTCTACTTGTACATGCTCCGGCCTGGCTGAACGGCCCCGTGTAATACAGTGCAAACAATAACGCAACAATGATATGAGTTGGAATGATAAAGCAGAAAAAGCAAAGCCAAAAAACTCACCGCAGTGCAAACCATGTCTAAGCAATCCCCATGGATGAGATCATGCGGGGAACGGCCTTGGGCACGATTCAAGCTCTTTATATCTAATTTGGAACGAAAGACGAAAGATAAAAGATAATGCAAATATGCTTCCGGATGTGGAGTGCTATAGCTCTGGTTAAGTTTACCTGCTAGACCATAGTAACGATAGTGTAGCCATGATGAAAGTTCCAACCGCTACGCTTTCCAGGATTGTAATGGTCAGGTCAACTCGTTTTATGGCTACCACTTCCTCGCCGAAAAGTTCCTCGACTTTTCCCGTCACCTCCTCTTTGATGTAGTCGATCCACGGTCGTTCGTCCACTACCGGTTCCGATGGTGCCTCCGCGGCAACTTCGATAGCCGCTATATTTTCTCCTGTGATAGCTTCTGTAGCATCTGCCACCTCTGCAGCTGCAGGGGGAGCTTCCCCTACGGCAGCTACTACCTCAAGTGAATCTGCCGCTTCGGCAACCTCGCCGCCAACCGCAGCAGTTTTGTCTGCGACGAACTGTGCTGCTCCGGAAGGTCCGCCTCGTTCACCCACAGGAGGAGCTCTCAATAGTGCACTCCTGAGCCCCTCTTCCTGGATAACCTCCCGGACCTTCTCTTCAAATCCACCCACCAGCCGTTTTCTCTTCCAGGGCTCCAATCCCAACTGCACAACAATGAACAACAGCACGTTGAAACCCATCAATCCCCAGGTTCCCCATGTGCTCGCCCTTCGAATCTTGTCACTCCAAATCTGTTCCTCATGGTACCGTGAAAGGATGGAACGGGCGAGGCCTGTTTGAGCCTCATCAGCGACGCGCTCCGCCTGGACGAGCAGATCCTGCGCAGTGGTTTCAGCCTGCTCGTTCGCGTGGTCCGATCGATAGAGTTCGGTGAAACGCTCGAGGTCTGTTGGGCTCCAGGCATGCTTCCGTTGGAGCAGTTCGTTAACCTCTCGTTGTGAGGCCGACCGACGGCTTATCGCAGCTTGGTACTCTTCTTTCGCATTCCGCACGGCCTGGCGAGATGCTTTCACATGTTGCTCTAAAGTGGTTTTCAAGAAAACGGACCTTTTATTTTAGCAAATTGACCTAGGTTCTATTATACAGCACTAGTCAAGATATCGCCGGAGAGGAAAACAGAGGCGAACAGTGTCATGGATCAAAAGGGACATCGTAGTAAGAAATTGCCGCCGAAGAAGCAATTGTGGGGTGGGGAAGCGCTTTAGGGAAGAGCAAAAGGGCATAAAACTGGATGACAAAGGGTTTGGAGAAAACTCGGAAAAGGGTTGGGGAAAGGGGGAAAGAAGAAAGAAGGAGGGAAAGATACCTCGCTGTTCAATCGACCTTTTCAATGCCTCAATGTCAGAATACCCCGTAATCTCGTTCAATTTCTGGCCGGCACGAGACATGGCCGCCTGTAAATCATCCATGGCAGCGGAGAACTTCCTGTGCATATTTAGACGTCTATTCTCCATCTGGGAAGGCAGATCCCTAAGCTCTGACTGAGGAGAAGGGGTACTCGACGGGGTACCGGAGGAATCCGGAGACGGGCTATCTCCTTTATTACCGCTATCGGGAGGCTTTCCCTCGGAAGAAAACCATCGGAAGTGCTGTTGGGGGAGTCGAAGCGGCTGCTGTTGCAGATGAGGCTGACACCGGATACAGAGTGATAACCTTGGACTCAGATGCAGTCGACGGAGGTCTAGGATCCGGCATGCGGCAGGAGAACCGGAGGGCCTTGCAAGCAGAATGGATCTGAGGAGCGGCCTCATGTCACGGCGGGCGCAGGGCGTGTCACGAAAATGCCGAAGGGGGGGGGGAGGAAGATGCTAGCGGCAGAGTGTGGGCTTTCTCTGATGGGTGTGGTGGTTGGTTGGCAGGTTGGGCGGTGGGGAGTTTGAAGAGTTGTCGGGTTAAAGAGTTCAGACGGAGAAACAATTGAGTTGCACGGTCTGGGCCTGCATACGAGATGGCAGCCCCTCGCCCCTCACGAAAAAAGGAGTAACGTTAACTCAATTCACCCAACCAACGGAAAGCCATCAACACACGGACAGCCAATGGGGGGGAAAGGAAGAAGGAATGAGTTACCTATGGTACCAATGTCTTGGCGGGGATAGCCTCATGATGAAATGAGGCAGGGATGGGGATGGGGTACGAGTACTACTCGTATACAGTATTCTACAAGTACCGCAATTTCTGAGACAGCGGGATTATATGTCAATGTCATGGCTGTCGTAGTCTACTCGTACTGCTATGTACTCGAGCATCAGCACCCCACTAACTCGAGTACCCCACCACCCTACCTGCACCACAAAACCTGACGGGCACTCGTATGATACCACTAGTAGTATATACCACTGGTAGAGTAGCAGTATTCAAGTATTCCGCATCCCTATCACTCATAGTAAATTGTTCATGCCCCACTGTATCATACTACTCTACGGAATGGTACTTGTATAATAGTACCGGTATCATAGAGTGCGGCGCCGGTAGATCCTTTTGGAAAACAGAAAGGCAACCGGACTGTAAACAATCAGGGAGGGATGGTGATGATGATGGATGGATTGACTGGGCAGGGAAAAAGGAAAAAAAGGAGGGAAAAAAAGGATATGCAGGTTGCCCCTCCCCCTCATTCTGCCTTTTGAGCTGCATTGCTTGATGCTGTCCTCCTCGGCGTGCATTTTTCCCGGCTGCCGGCACTCTCCCACTCCATCCTTCCATGCCCTCATCTTCCCCGTCGTATTTATCATTTACTGCTACAAGTGCCGTTGATGCTAATGCAAGGAAACCAAACAAAGATATGCTTAGTTTGAAGGTTGCAATGCCTCCCCCTCGGGTGAATTCCCTCTACTCGAGTACACTATCCCCCACCCCTTCAACATCTTCGGCCCTTGAGTCGTTCTCCACCTCTATATAACTAGGGCCCTAGGACCCCTCCCTCTCTCTTCCCTTTCCCCTTCATCCTCATCCTCATCCTCATCTTTTTTTGCTACCCTTAAACTATTATACCATAAACTATAGACGGATAAATTTTCTGTTCAATCAAACATGGCCCCCGCAAACAAAGCTGTTGTCTTTACCGATTTCGATGGTACGTATGCTATCATGATCCATTCCCAGCGTACCCTAGCCCCACAATTATCGGGCTTGTGTTTGCTTTGAACTGAACTGATACATCCTTCCAAACAATAGGAACCATTACTCTGAAAGACAGTACGTAGCCAGTTGAGAGTGAATTGATCTCTCGTGGAAGCCTACAATTAACTAACATCGGTTATCCTCGACTGCCAGGTAATGATTACTTGGTCAGTTCCCCATCTCTCTCACTCGTGCTGCCAACAGTCCCCGGGCCCTTGCTGACGTCTTCAAATATAGACCGACAACCTTGGATATGGGGAGCAGAAGCGTAGAGATGGCAACATTGATATCCTCGAGAACCGTGTCAAGTTTCGGTACTTACCTCACCCCCTAAACCTATTCCTCAAGCTAATTCTCCTCAGCGATGCATTCAAGGAAATGCTCGACTCAGTACCCACCCCCTTCGACGAGTGTGTTGATATCCTCGTCAAGAACATCAAGCTGGACCCGGGCTTCAAGGATTTCTACGCCTGGTGCTTGGCTGAGGGGATTCCCGTCATCGTTCTTTCATCCGGAATGGAGCCCATTATTCGCGCGCTCTTGACCAATCTTGTTGGACCAACAGCAGATCAGATTAAGATTGTTAGCAATCAGCCCAAGCATTTGCCCGATGGGACATGGACCATCGATTATCATGATGACAGGTTTGTCTACCCTCCACCTGCTTTCCTTTCCTCCGGCGAAGTGGGGAGTTAATATGTCACGGGATGGAAATAGCGACTTTGGACACGATAAATCGTTGGCCATTAGGCCGACTGCCAACCTTCCAAAGGAGGATAGACCTGTTCTTTTCTACTGTGGTGATGGTGTATCCGATCTGTCTGCTGCGCGTGAGACTGATCTGCTTTTTGCCAAGTATGGCCATGGTATGTCGCAAGCTTAGCCCATCGCTGTGGTACACTACTAACATTTCCCCTAGACTTGATCACCTACTGTGAGCGTGAGGGCAATCCCTTTGTCGTCTTCAAGACATTCAGCGACATTCACAGAGATATCAAGGATATCATGGAGAACAGGACCACCATTGATGAGGTGGCTGGTAGATATGGGAGGGAGAAGGCGGCTGCAGCAGCAGCAACAGCAACATAAACTGTTCGGTAGATGAATGCGTCTAGAGGATGAGGACTATCCATAGATAAATAAAGTATCTGTTTTTTGTTTTACCCATGTGGAACCTCTACCGTGGCATATTTACAAAATGTGACCGACCGTATTGTGTGAAAATAATGAAAAGAAAAAATGAAGAGGAAAAGAAGGAAAAGAAAGAAAAGATTGCTGAACAACAATTAACCATTCTTATCATTACCGCCGTTCATTCAGTTCCAGATCCATGGGGGAAGCCTCGACGTCTAGAACTTCATCCTGGGTATCACTATCTCCAATCCTTTCCCTGGCCGGCAGCGCCTCCTGCCTCAACACCTTCCTGCGCAGCCATAGTGAAAGCCCAACAATAATACCCCACAGCTTCTCCTCCCTCTCAACCTCAGCGCTATCGTCGCGGGGATTCTCCCTATTCTCCACCTTGAACTGAAACTTGAGCACGTCCTTCCTTGTCACGACGCCGGACAACTTCCCCCTATGCTCCACGAGCATGACCCTAGGCCCCACCTTCTTGAAAATCTCCATCACCGTCTCGAGTGGCAGGCGCGGGTGCACGGTCAACGGTGTTGGGTCGACGAACCTGGCAAAGTCCAGTGATAACGAGCCCGACGATAGTTGCCCTGCACCACCAGAACTAGAAACGGTCACTACTACGCTTGAGGCTGGTGTCTGTGTCTGGTCCACGGACAGGAAGTAGCAGCGGGAGGTGGGTGGAATAGCACGTTCGCGCTTGGCACGGTCTTCAGGGTAAATGAGAAAGTTAGCGTTTTTTCAAAAAAAAATATTTTTTTCTTCCAGATGGTATCATAGGTTGGCTAGACAGGTTAAAGGTAATACACGGTATATAGAATTGTTATTTATCCAGGTTGTCGAAGGAAAGAAGAAGAAGAAAAAAACTACCGGGCCCGGTTAGGCGGCGGAGTTCATTGATGCGGGGCAATACACATGCATGCCTCCAAGTGTGGGTTTATGGTTGCTCGGGTATGGGGTACCGGATTAGATATCGGGTGTGGGGAGTGGGAAGAAGAAGGTAAGAGAAGGGAGGGGAAGATTGATAATTACCAATGCCGTACTTGAGCTCCGTTCGATTAATGTAGCCTATGAGCAACTTTGAGTTTCTATCCTGCACGATCGGGAATCCTTGGAACTCTGTCGACTCTAGAATTGTTTCTATTGATAAACGTGGATATTAGTATGAGCGGTATATAGGCAACTGCTATTATAAACGTGGTGCGCCTTTTTAAAATGATAGGAGCGTTTTCATATATCAAGAAAGGTGGGGAGGGGGAAACATTACCGGCTTCTCGGATGGTCATGCCTGTGGATGGGAGCACAATTAATTCCTGATTCATCACATGAGATACTGGTACCCCAAACGAGTGGTCCTCTTTGTTATCTAAGAATGGGAACCCATTGAACCATATCATCCGGTCTGCGATGCCCGCTTTGCCAAAACTATCACTGACAGCTTTTGTTACGCCAACTACTATCTGCGATTTTGTGGTTATCCTTATCAGCTATCATCCGCAACACCCCTATCAACTACAAACTTGTGCTTTGCGTGTGCGACGTGCTGCGCAAGCGCCTGTTCATATATATATGCGTACGCGCGACAGGATGGAAGGAACGTACCATTGTGGGGAGAATGTAGGTTAATGCACCCGTGAGTTCAAACATGATAACCACCACAGAAACCGTAATGTGCATGATGCCACTAAGTGCGGCCGCAGCACCAAGGAATGCATAGGTCCCCGGTGTGATACACTTAGCGGGTGTTAGCAGGAGGGCCGGGTCTAGGTTACACAATATAGATGCAGATATACTTACGGGCATGTCTGGTTCGCAGCCAGCAAAGAACTTGGAGTTCGGCGCGGCTTCGTGGAGTGCTTGAACTAAGATCCCGACTGTTCGGCCGAAGGACGCTCCAATAGCCATAGACGGCACGAAGATCCCGGCGGGGACTTTGCAGCCGTACGAGATAATGACAAGAAACGCTCGGATTACAGTTGCGATGGTGAGCGACATGACCATATGCCATCTCCGACCACTCCTTCACAGATTGTCAGAATTGCCAGAATATCGGGGGTCGGTTCTTAAAGCTCTCACTCGCAAAGTCCATTGTAATCATGCCCACCCTCACATTCGTGAAATAGAATCTCCATGCTTTCTGTCATATCTATTCTTAGGAACATATTAGAGTAACAGATCACGGCAGTGATCCCTGCCAAAAAAGTTGCTTCCGCGATGGCCCATTGTTTCAGATATTTTTTGCGGAAGGACTGAGCACGCAAGTTCCATTTGATGACGAACTCGCCGTAGAGCCCGCCAAATATACCAATAATTATGAAGAAAACAATCTCAAAAAAGTGCCAGTCCCGATCATAAGTAACTTGAAACATGACAAGTTGACCGGTCCGGAATGGGTTCATAGCCTTCTTATATTAGTGACTGAAATAGGGGGAATTGTTCAAGAATCCCACTCACAGCAAGAACAGCGGTGGCTACCAATGCACAGAAATAGCTCCTCCACATTGTTTTTAGGGGAAAGTCCGACGACATTTCCTATTTCCAGTATTAGCGATCGCTTCCCCACTAACCACACTGGGAAGTAAAACCGACCTCAAGGGAAAAAAGCACACCCCCGATAGGGCTTCCGAAGGCAACGGCAACGCCCGCGGCGGCACAGGCAGACAATATCTCCCTGGTTTTCGCTGCATTCTTCCTGTACTTCTCGAAGAACCTGCTGATCACATTCCCGGTGCATACCGCATAATGCACACTAGGACCCTCCTTACCCACACTCAGTCCCGATGCAATGGCGAGTGGGAGGCCGATAGACTTTATTAGTAACGTCCACCCACCCAGAAAGCCCTTCATGACGAAGCCGGCAAGAATGCATTTGATTTCGGAGATGCCCGAGCCGGCAGCATATGGAGCGAAGGATTTAACGAGAATAGCACTGGTATATGCAAAGAGTATCTACAACACATCAGCACATCTGGCATTCCCGAAACAAATCACCCGCGCCCGGATAGCACGACCCACGGCGGCTCATACATCCGGAGTATGATAGTTTCCAACCGCCATTTACTGGTAGGGCAAGAAGGGATCAGAAACCTACCGAAAACAAAATGTAGAGCAGGTAATTCACTGGCCAAACCTTGCTCCATGTTTTCCACTCCGGGCAGCCTAAACCCTCCCAACAAGGAAAAAATCAGCCCTCAACCCCTCCAAAAACCCATAAGCCTAGCGAAACAGAACCCACCATCTTCTGCGCCCCAGCAGCAGAAATTTTCATTGAGATAAAACGCCGTTGTGCAATGTCCCAGCTTAATATCCGACAACCACTCTGTGGCTATATTCAGGAACGAGGCATTGAGGCCGATGCATGCGCCTATCTCGCGTTAGAGAACCCACAGTTAAAAGGGGTGTAGGAGGACCAAGTGAGCACCAATCAAGCTAATAACGATCCACGCCTGCCCAGCATCGTAGGACAACCAAAGCTTCCTCCTCCAATTTGTACGAATATAATACCCCTCCTTCCGTTTCTGAGTTCGTCGTTGAAGCTGCGCTCGCGCGGCGTCCTGTACCCAATCTATCCATCCAACACCATGAGGTTCTCCTTCCACCATTCGTCTTGTCGGGGGTAGGCAAACGTACCTATCGTCGTAAAGTCCTAAGTTAACCCTCATCAGCAAGTTCGCACAGCAACGAGGCTTAGGCGAAACTAGGCGAAGGAGTGTTACTTCATAGCGCCTAATCTCCTCTATCTCTTCATCGATCTGCTCGCCATCTTCATGCCGTGCCTCCCCAGCTTCAGCAGAACGAGTTGAGATTGCTATCGAGAGTCGCGAAGATACCGAGGGGCGGTGGAGGGGTCGTTGATGAGGTGAGGCCATATCATCGGTTGTGTAAGGGGCTGTGGGGGTCAGTGGGAAGGAGTGAAACTCGAGATGAGATACCAGGGGCGAGGGTATTTCTGGGTTTCCGTTTGGTAGATCGACGCTGCGTACGCACGGTATGACAGGGTGGCCTAGAGTTTCGCCTTTTGCTCGTAAACGAATAGTCTAAGTGAGGCTCTAGAAGTTTGTGCCAAGGTTCATCATTGGTGACACGTGACTTTGTTCATGAACGATCACTTAACATCGGGAAGGAGGAAGGAGATCTCTTTGTGATAAGAGGCGTGTGCATTGAACTATACTCACTAAGGTTAGCAAGTTCTGGCTACTCCTATGATATCTTGTACCTGGAACTGAAATGGTGGCCTGAATCAAAGAATAAAAAGCTCTCTGCCAAAAAGGAGACGAGGACTATCTCGTAGTCTATCACATATAGCAGAACTAAAAAAGAAAGTGGGCCTAATAAAACACAAATCAAGCGTGGTAGAGAGCGATTTCGGCGATCGACGGTACCGACGTTCAAGGTGTTTGTGCCGAGAGAAGAGAAAAAGGCTAGAGAAGAAGAAACGAACGCTAGAGAAGCAGAGACGGAACAGAACAATCGGTTCAATAAAGGAGGAAGCAAACAAAGCCATGAGAGGAAAAGAGAGTTATGGGTTTCTCACGCTAGGTAATTTCAACCATATTATACAGCAGTGGTGGGCACTGTGTGAGTACTCGAGTACGAGTACATACCAGGCTCACCGATACAGTTGGTGGTTTATTTATCCCCCACATCGGAAATAGTGCCGAATCCCCCCACGTTTCCATTAGACACGGCTCAGTAGGAGCAGCAGCAGTCGGGCTCCAATAGCACCAAGCGTGAGTGTTTTTCAACTGCTCCCCGACAATGTGGCTTCAGACCCGCTGGGATGAGAAGATATAGGAAGGCTGCTAAATCCAGGCTACCAAGTACAGAGATCCCGTCGAATGAGGGAAAACCTAGTATCATACCAGAGGTTTCAGCAGTCTGGCCTATTTTCGGGCCCTCTGCTCCCGATTAGAGCCAAGCACAGACAGGACAGGATATTACCACTAGTGTCACAAAGATATACAAGTGATAAGACATGTTCGACACTAAAATAATTACATCAAAACTCACTTATGATAGGGTTTGACTTTATAAGCAGACAGGATGAGAACAATAATCCAGATTCTCACCCCCCCATTCACCTACCCGGAGAAGGAAGGTAAAAGTGGAAGGAAGGAGAGAGGCAGTAATTTAGAAACCACTTTTCTTCCCTCATTATCCGACTGCCACCTTTTGAAAACTCTTCTTCCTGCCCATAACATTTCACAACCCACAACGGCGCATAAGCAAGCACCAGGCAGATGAAAGCCGAGAAGCTCTATGGAGCACGGTGCTGGCCGGCGCGATAAGCGGCCCAGCCTAGTCTCTTATCACAAAGGATCACTCGCACGATCGCACAGCCCTGCTGTCGGAAAGCATCAAAGGAGAGATCAACCCAAGTGGAGATTGAGTTGAGGTTCGCGCGCTTATGGAGCAATCAGAAGTTTTGTGGTTGCTGATTGGGGGAAAGATAAGGGGGAAAGGGATGCTTCAAAGAGGCCTGTATATGAGAGGGCGATGGAAGAAGTCACAGGGTATCACTCATGATAATTGTGAATGTGTGTGTTCCCGGAGTAGGAGAGAAGAAGCTTGATTTTTCAAATACAAAGCGAGAAGAGATACTAATATGCTACATCGACTGAGCAGTCACGCCGGACACTGTGTCCTATACTACACACTGGACACTGTGTCCTATACTACACAGGCCACCTGTCCAACATGACGCAGTAGTGATACCCTTATTCCGACATCTAACTACAAGAGGTACCCAATGCGGTAAACCACTTATAATTAGATCAGGCGTAGTCACAGATTGAGAAAACAAACAAGAGTCTTGTGACTAAAGGAAATGAAAAGGAAACTACATCTGTACGGCGGATAAGGACTAAGTCCAACAATAATTTGAAGCACAATAATATGGTAACATGAAATATAGGCCACAAGTACTAATTCCACCATCCGTGTGCCTGCAGCCTGCCATAACACTCGTGGCGCCCAACTTCAAAGTCGGGCACAATGCCTAATTAAGCTTCTCGCAAGTTACGAATAGTGTAGTGCTCCAGTAGCGTGCCCGAAAGTCTTGGCCAGCCATCTGTAAGTATTCCACGATCCCTCACAAATCCCTTCTTGCATACTGCCAAACTCCCCTTTCCACCACTGGTACTCCTGTTCTCTCTCCTGTCGTGACGGAGCCATAAACTGATTATCTTCATCCCCGCGCTTATGTATTTCATTGAGATCGATCTAGCACCCCATTAGCCACACAGCCACCATCACTTCCACAAGCTGGGCAAGGGGATGGGAGAAAGCAAAGCTTACCACAATGCGACGAGCCAAATCAATAAAGTCCTGCTCACTCACGCCCCCCCAATGGTCAACGTGAGGTTTGGTATCCAAGAAGTCATGAACAGAGTCTTTGTTCTCCATAACGGCGACGAGATCCTTGACAACTTTCTCACCTTCCGGTGAGAATTGCGGAAGATGCTTGCCAGAGATGAGGAAATTAGCGATCAATTGTCTTAGGAAACCGCGGGCTGCTTTGCAATGTCACGCTTGCAGAAGTGACTCGAGGTCTGCCCCCACAGGTTGTAGCTCTCAGAGATTGCGTGAACATGGCCGAAGAGTTTGTGGATTTCCTATGATGTGTTTCTCCACTATTAGCTTTTTATGTAATTATTGTCATGATTACAATAATAATAATAACTGCTTCGGAAAGCATTCTGGGGTTCACCTGAATCTGTTCTTGGATAGACTTCCCAACGGACTCCTCCGGAACCTTAAAGTGATTATAGCGGTATCGTGGATAGCCTTCTCGAATCGGATCAGCACCAAGTCGAAGTTCTTGTCTGTACCTGCGCCACTGTGTAGGAAGCCCATCGACTGGGCGAGGATTGCACCCTCCAAGATTGGCATTGCTGGATATTTGGAGAGTTCACGGATGGAGAAAGAGGCAAAAGTAGGAGGCTAACTTCGGATGAGGCAGGTGTGGAGTTTTGGCGCGTGGATATCATAGTAAGAAAGTAGGTGGTGTGTTTGGCGCCTTTCTTCGTGGCGGAGAGGGGCTGGCGTGCGTGTTAGACGGGTTGTCTTATATTCGAGGCTCAGAGCTTGGTGGCACCATTAACCCGGCGTCCTAAAGCCCTAATTAGTTCCATACATTTATCCCACCCATTTTCTATCTTTTAAAGAAGCCCTAGCTTGTGTGCTTACTATGGAGGGGTAGGGTTGAGGTGTTCTCTCCTAGGCGATTCTATAAGAGAGTTTTGTGTGGCATGATACCTCACTGTAAATCTTGCTAGCATATACCTGTCTCGGGCAATGATTAGAATCCCCAAGTACCTGAAAAGCTAGGCACTTTCGCCGATCCTAGCCTTTGAACCTCCTTAGATTGTGGTCTCACATATCATACTACAGTCAAAGCTAATCCGCTATGCGCGAGACCACAAGGCGAAAGACTAGTGACCGCAATCCATCAAACCGATTCATCGGCCGTACTTAGAGTGTGAGCATAAGTCTGTGGAACTTTGGCCCATTCGTCGAAATCTCTATCTGTGTAATTGTTTTTTCCCCCCAGCTACTTGACCCAATTTACGCTAATCTTAGGTGAAGGGGGAAAAAAATCTGTTGAACAACCTCACCTGTTTGTTAGCTAGAGAGAATACCGTCCCCTAAGTGTTCGAGAGGCGATCGTGCCAGCCAGAGGGATTCGACATACTCACTCTTAATACCCTATACAGTAGACGGTGAGACAAGTATTTACCTGTTAATCTCATTGGAACTACTCCCAAGCACATCCCCTTTGAGTGCTTTGGGATCCAAATGTTATTCTGAGACGGGCAAGGAGAGAATGCAAGCACACCCCTATAATTTAGCTATCATACCCCTAAAGGTTTAGGTTTAGAGTGGATGTAGATTTTGCAGCTCCAACTGTAGAAAGAAGAATCCTGTAGTAGATATGAGCACAAATTTATTTGATACCACTCAAATGCCAAGCTACTAGTTTTGTACACTTAGATTTTTCTATGATACTTTTCGGATTCAGTCCAGTTGTGAGGCAAACTCACTGCGCTTATCAGTATACCGGTATATGACAACCCTCTATGATACTACTATCCATCCCATACAAATCCTTCCATCCCCTTTCCCATCATTCCCCTTACTGTGATATACATACACCTCGCTCGGTTTCTCCGACTCCGAGCGAGAATAGCACGTTAGCAGCAAGCTGCTGACGACATATAGATATTTTCCCCCCTTCCCTTTCATGCTACGTTCTTCACGCTCACGTCAGCTTCCAATCCTCCCCACTCACTAACGTATATCATACTCAACACCTAAATTTCGATCAAGTCGGGGCACACCCAGCACAGTGCATTCCGAGATGCATTGTCCTCTCGGAGGTTAATGAGAAGATAAGTGCAAATCAACTGAGGTGTGATAAGAGCTTCATGAGCACCAGCGCAGATTAAGGGCTCATCATAGCTAGAAAACCTCTAAGGGGCCAATGATCGGGCAGATCGGGTCGGTCCGACGGTGTGATATGGTGATACCCACGAGCGAGATCCCGGATGGCTTGATAGCTCTGTAATCATACTGAGCCAGATAAAGTGATATCGTATGATAAAACTTGATAACTCATCAACCGCAACGAATACAATGATATCGCAATAACCTATTTCGCACATACACCCTCCATCTCCCACCCACACAGCACAACACTACCCTTATAATATATATCAGTACTTATACTATGATAGGACATGACAAAGCAGCAAACAAATAAAACCCACCAAGCCACTAAGTTAGGTCCATAATCCATCACAAGGAATCACTCGCATGACATATCTGCCCATTCCATTGCCAGACCATGACAAAAACTAACCCCCCCCCCCGATAACTCCCCACACACCGTGTTGAGTTCGTTCGTGCCCATGTAATCCATTACTATACTCAACCACAACCGAACCAGCATCCAGCCAGACAGCCAACGATTCTTCACCACAGATGTTAAGACCTTATCACAAAAAAAAAAAACCGAAAACCAGTGGGGAGTGGGTATAACCGTCTCATAATACCAAGAACGAACAAAAATACGGTAGCACAGCACAATGACCTACAAGCACCTCAGTCCATGACTTTCAATTCCTTACTTGATTCGTTCGCTCGCGCTGGCATAACGAGATAGTACCATACCCATCCACCTACACACTACACCTAACAACACAATCGCACAGTACCAATTCAATCATCCCGGTATATCCAACCCAAAACTCTACCGTGAATTCGCCGTAAAACTACCACCCCTGACTGACCAGAACGGGAACAAGAATGAGAACAAAACACAAGGAGATTTGATAGGGGGTGGGTAAGAGCGAGAAAAGCTGAAAGGAAATTGAAAAAAAAATACAAAAAAAGCAAGTATACAAGTTATACAGTATTATACCGGTCAGGTTAAGCCATATACGCCTATCAATACCTGGAGCACCGACAGCAACAAAAAGAGAACCTTGATATAAACAGTAACAATTTCTTACCCTACCCTGCCCTACCATACTCAGGTGGCCTTCCCCCCCCCATCTCATGGCAATAGAGGTATCATATATCCTCACATCGCTCCACCGCACTTTGTCCATAACGGACCGGGCTGAACCAGACCGAGGCTTTGAATAAAAATGAAATAGAAAAGATAAAAAGAAATAGACAAGACATGACTCCCCGGACCCAAACAAACAAAAAAACCGACAAACGGATAGAACAGAAACCCTCAATGAAGAAACAATAAAGCTCACACCAACAATTCAATTCAAGGAGAAAAAAGGTTATGATACGGATTGATACTATAAGCAAGCAAAGCAAAGCAAAGAAACCTCCAAAGCTATCGTTTTACTATTTACTTCACCACCACTACTATAACCCCTCCGCCCTCTCTCCATCCCCGATCGGCAAATCCCTCTTCGGCGGATACCCATGCACCCGAACACGATACAAACACGTGAAATTAGGATGCCCCCAATTATCCACGATCCTAAATGCAACGAAGTGGCTGGTGACGTTGAGCCTGGTGAGGTCGACGGGCAGTTCAAATGTCTGGACCGGTGATCCAGCGGTGTGAATGTCGTACATAAATTCGTGCACACGCACCCACTCTCCGCCGTTGTTACCCGACATCTGCAGCTGCTGCTGTTGTATTTTTTGCGTGTCGCTGTCCTGGCGGAACCACTCGCTGGCGGGCTTGCCTACCGCCTTCTGCAGCTCCTCCTTGCGCTCCGCGGGCACGCGGATCCAGAATTCGATATTCTTCGGCGCGGACGAGATCTCGATGGCTTGCTGCTTGGGCACGTGGTCGATTGTGACGTGCGAGACGTAGATCGGCTTGGCAAGCTTAATGCCAATGTCCCCCGAGCGCTCGGGGAAGGGCCAGCACTCACCCACTTCTGTGGACGGGGTTATGGCCAGTGCTGGTGGCGGCGAAATCCGCGCACCCCGGCCAAAGAGGCGCCAGACGAAGTGGTGGTAGCCCCTGCCGCCCGTCCAGTCGTACGAGGGGGATGTGATGTATGGCCAGATCGAGGCCCCAGTTATGATGGATGCGTAGTCTGGCAGGGTAGTCCAGCGCTCCTTGCCGCCCTGCGAGATGCGCCCACTGGTGCCCCGGCCCCCGCGCGAGTCGGCAAACTCTTGCGCCATGTTTCTGGCCGCCCTGTTTGCGGTTCCGGAGGCTATGGCACTTGCTGCAGCGAGGATGGAGGACGATGCCGAGCTAAAATGTTCCGTGTTTTCTCTCCGGATTCGTCGTTGGAGCTCCTCCAATTGGCTCTCGAATTTTGACTCGAAATCTGGCAAGAAGGTCTCCACCTCCCATTTCTTGTGGTACTTCTCCGCCTCTTCCTGGATCATGGCCATCACAAAAGCCTTGCTTAGAACCACACCACCCGGTTTCCCATTCTTCCCTACACCATCTCCCGCAGAAGCATGCTTTTGGATCAAATCCTTTAGCTTGTCTTCATTCCCCTTCATGAACGCCTCCCAGCTTGGTATCTTCCCAATTCCACTAGGTCCTGTCTTTGCGATCGCATCATTGAAATGCTTGGGGAATATCTTCGAGAATACATCCTGGAGACTGTCCTGGAACTCGTCGGTGAGCTGAACCTTCCCGTTCGGGCCCAAAGTAGCAACCATTTGTTTTGGGAGAGCCTCTTCAAAGGACTGCATAGCTTCATTCCGTGCCTTCTGCAGCGCCCTGAAATCCGACAACTCCCGATCCAATGCCTGTTGCGCCGAGAGGAGACTATCCAAGTTCCTCCTGTTGTCTTCCAACATTGCATCCTGTAGCACCCTGACAGTATCCAACGTACTCGAAAGAGAATCGATCTCATTCCTAATCTTATCTCGATCAGTGGATGATTCCATCTCAGCGCTAGCCAGAGAGTCCTCTAAAACTAATAACTCCTTCTCAAGGACTTGCCGATACTTGGTCTCAAAACTCGAAGCAAGATGTCCGAAATTACCCAGCTCCTTCTCGACAGTGTGGAGGCGATAAACGAGTTCGTCGACATTTTTTGGAGCCTCAGAAGGGGGAATATAAGTGGGGACAGAACCACCCTTCGACCAATCAAGGCCGTAGGAGGTTACGAGGTAGTGAGTAACGGCTGTCGCGAAGAAGCAGGCCAGGACGGTTTTGGCAACCCCGGAGATCGAAACCCCAAGCCATCGTTGCCACAGGAAGTCGGCGAATCCAAAGTAGTTGAAGGGTACCTCATCAGCATCAGCATCACCAGTTCCGCCACCACCACCACCCTTTCCACCTCCATCACCACCACCCTCATCACCTCCGCCACCACCAGGATTCTTTGCGCGTTTTGCCGCCTCCCGCTCCCTCTCTAGCAATTCCCTCTGCTCCTGTCTAGCCAGCCTCGCATTATCGAACTCTTCCTGCAACTTTTCTCTTTCCAACTCCCTTGCCCTCTTACCCGCCAGCGCCCTAGGCGAATCTCCTACCTTCGATTGGATAAATCCCGGGATAACCGTTGGAATTCTACTATCGGCGCCCCTGGCTTTTCTTCCTGCCGGCTTACTGGGGGCTGGGATTGGTCTTCTCCCCGAAGGAGCTCGTTTCCGTGCCACTTCTAGCTCCTCGACCCCAGATTCTTCAGCTTCACCAAAGCCCCTTGCCAAATTCTCAGAGACCTTCCTCCCGAGCATAGGGCCTAAGTCGTCCTCCGAACCGTACGAGCGACTAAAGCCAAGAGTAGTATCGGCTCCGACAGAGGAGCGATCGGAAATTTCTGTTTTCAATATACAAGTCATGTTAGCACGTACGCGAGCCAATTTGCGATAGAGAACGAAAGCGCTTGAGGGTGAGAGAGAGAGAATGCCTCCAGAAGCGAAGGTTGGGGGGCGGACAACTTAAATGTCCAGAATATGTATGTTCCGAAGGGACGGGATGGTGCACGGAGCGAAACTTACCAGACTGTTGCCTTCCATTTGCTAATGGTGGCGGCGGCATAAGGTCTATTGATCTTGCTGTGGGAGGACCTTGACTTAAATCTGATGCAACACTGCGACCTTTCAGCGACCCGAGCCTAACATCATTCATCGTAGCCTGGACCTCAGCGGGACCAAGCTTCCTCCCCGATCTTGTCGTGACCCCTCCCCTCTTCCCCGTTACAGACGTCTGGGCAGTAGTGGTAGTAGTGGCGGTGGTGGTCGGGCCTAACCTTCTGCTATCCTCCTCATCTTGAAACCCCTGTTCATCTTGCTCATCCTGCCCATCTCGCTCACCTTGAGACTGCTCACCAGAAACCTTTTCCCTCTCCCACTCCTCCGCTCTCATTCTAGCCTCTGCCGCATCCTGCTTCTGCTGCAGCGCCACAGCCATGGGCACTTTCGTATCGGCCAATTGAGGAGCTTTAGGCATGTTGCTATGCGGGGAACCGTACGAATAACTACTCTTAGTGGGAATAAAGGGCATGGCCCGTTGATCCCCATCGTTATTTGCCCCCCGACCACCCGACCGCCGACGGTGGGCGGAAGGCGGGGTCGCCGTGAACATCTTTCCTTTAATCATCATCTCCCGTTAGCCTTTTGTAACGCTTCCTTTCGTGAAAGATCCTCTGCCGAGTCCAGTAACTATCGTTGTAGAAGACTACCTTAAGGCGCAAGCGCAAATCGCAGAGTAGGGAAGAGGAGGGAGGAGGAGAGGGGGAAAAAGTGTCCGAATGGAGGCGGTGGAGGAGATAGGAAGCGGGTAGAAGAGTCTACAACGAACCGAAAAAGAAAAAAAATAAGAGTTTCCTTTGTTTTAAAAGGCTATATCAGCAGTAAAAAGGTCAACCGGTGTGAAACCAATGCAGCTATGGGTAAAGTGTTGGAATATAAAGGGCGGGGTGTGGTGAGTTGCGTGACAAAAAGTTGATTCAGCTTCGACGCGTTGTAGGGTTTGATTGAAAGATGGTTTCCTTTGTTCCATAAACAATAGCACAGCACGAGAAGAGAGCCCTAGCGCAGCATTCTTTGGGTGTAGAGGCGATGAAGTGGTGTGTGTGTACGTGTGTTTGTGAAGGCGATGGGGTTGTGATGATGAAAGATGGGGGGGTTGTAGCGTGGGTGGGTGGATGGGTTTAAGTCGCGATGGGAACAGACAACCGGGAAAAAAAGAAAAAAAGGATCGGTTGAACAGGCCAGGGTTGGAGAGATGGACTGGACGGATTGATCGAGATGTACTCTCTTGTATTGGGCGGTGATTTATTACTTCTTGTTACTATCACTTTTTCAAGGGGGAGGGGGAAGCATCGCAATTGGAGATGATCTTTGATGTTTCGTTTCGCCCCTCTTCGTTGTTCGTTTTTGCAGAAAGTTCGGTCCAGGCTAACCAGCTAATCACGGGCCGACGTGGAAAGTTAGGATTGTCTCACTCGTTGTCCGTTTTTCCCAATCTGGACCGATTCGTTGTCCGCACCACACGATCAGACTCTCTAAACCTTTAATGGTGCCCCTGCCAACGAGATGCTCCCTAGTTGGGGAAAGCCGAGATGCTTTTTGGCGGTGATACAGCCTTGGTTCACGACAAAGGAACCATTAACTCGAGTACTCGTACAGTACTCGTACCGTCCAGTATGCCAGATCGAATTACCCGAGTGGTTGGTAATGCTCTTTTTTTCCTTTTCCCCCTCCCTCTTACCGTGTACTGTACCATCTTTATCCAAGCTCCCACCGTCCCGAGTCCTCTCTCTATTCGATCCATTGATACAACGCCACTATCGAATCACCCCTATGGAAACGTTGTTGCACGAGTACCGGTATGATCCACGGCAAAATCACCGAAACCGGGGAAATAATGTCTTTGTTATTTTTACTGGTCCGCTCAGCAGAGCATGGTCTACCGGTAACCGTTCCTCAGAGTCGGGCCCGGGGAATCAACTCACTTCAAATTGAATGTCCTACCGGTACCGTTGTGTCTCGCCCACCATGTGATGCTATCTTTCTCTATGCTAAAACAGCAATGACAAAACACACATAAGCGATGAAACCCAGCCCCGCTTCCCACCGGCGCGGGGTTGGCGTCTCGCTCTCAAGTTCTACTCCAGGATGACAAAAATAATCGGGAAACAGGACGGAAATACCCCATATTATATGAGTGTTATTCACTGTTTCTTGGGCCGTGACTTCACCCTTTGAAAGGCAAGAGATGGCCAGAAAACAGGGGTGCTTCTAGCCTCGCTCCCTGGCGCCGCCGGAAACAAGCCCGGCATAAGGCTCCCAGGGAGGTACTGTAGAATACTGTATTCAGACAACCACACCGTACAACGGCTCCTCTCACACGGTTATGGCTCAATCATCAACTACGATACTTTTGGGGGCTGCACAGCGAAGCTGGTAAAAACAGATCCTAAGTATCCTAGGTTAGGTAGCTTTCGGTTGATATTTGAAGCGGGATTGAGAGTCGAATCCTGGTTTGGGGGTTGAGCTTATGTATCTAAAAACACCAAGATCGTTCCAGGAGATGTATGATATGATATGATATCATAAGGATCAGATGGAGCAGTGCTGCAGAAATAGATTTTGCTGAATTTTCATGATAATAATAATATTATTATTATGACAGTCTTGGAAACACAAACCTATAACCTATTCTGCATTTGTAAATAATATTATATTATCATAAAAATTTCTTACTGACGGCATGAGAGCCTGGGTTCAGAGAATTTCGTATCTCCATTCCTCTTTCGAACTCCAATTCAACAGACAAATACTTATTTTAATTTTTTGTATTTAATTTCTATTCTCATCTCTATTGGGAGCAGCCCTTAAACTTCTACGGCTAATTGGTTGCTCAAAAAATTGCCCACAAAATTAATAAAGTATCATAAAAAATTTATTATTAATAAAAAAAAGAAAGCATGCCACAAAAATTCTTATCTGATTATTCATTGATCTTACCCTTTCTTAACATTAGTAGATAAGATAATAACAAATTAGTTATCGTGCTAGTATCGCACTATTCGAGTATCGTACGGTAGTATCGCTTACCCAGCACAAATCCCCCACCACCCGCCATTGGTTCTCCCGTCGCCGGCACCCTCCGTATCATACCTGGATATCCTCATCTCCACCCCACCTCAGGTAAATGCCGTCAACGCAAACCCCCACCCTTCCCCAAAAAACACGATGATGACCAATTCCCTCTCCAAAAAACTGGTATTGGTAACCGGCGCCTCACGGGGTATCGGCCTCTCAATATCCCAAAAATTCGCCCACACCGGCGCAAACCTAATCCTAATATCCCGCACCAAGTCCCACCTGGACGCCGCCCTATCTACATTACCGCCCGGAGGCGAGCACCAGTGTATCGCTGGTGACGTTGGGGATCCAGAGCTTTGGGAGGAGGTTCGGGGAGGATGTGGGGTATGCTTGCTCCCCCGACTAGCAATGATGGTAGTGAGGAGGAGGGGGGAGGGCGAGAGCTGATGGCGGTGGGAGTATGGTAGAAGAAGCTAGATGTCCTTGTGAACGCTGCCGGAATCACGCATTACAGTCTCCTGATGGCGACAAAATCGGAGACGATACAGGAAGTTATCAGGACTAATTTGGTGGGATCGGTGTTAGGGTGTAGGGCTGTGCTGAAGGGTATGATTCGGGCTCGGAGTGGTTTGTCTATCCGCTCTACTAGTAGGGATGGTTATGCTTGGTGGGGCTAATATGTTTTTTTGGTGATGATCTGGAAAAAGGCTGTATAATTAATATTTCGTCGGTACTTGGGATTAAAGCTGGCATGGGATCCGTAGCTTACGCTGCCAGTAAGGCCGGTGTTATTGGTAACCCCCTTTCCTCCCTCCCCTTCATTCCAAACCCTCGGCTCACCGCGCCGAAACCAGGATTAACAAGATCACTAGCAGCCGAAGTTGGAAGCAGTGGGGTAAGAGTTAATGCAATTCTTCCGGGGTATATCGACACGGATATGACGGGTGGTTAGCCCCCCTCCACCACACTAATTAGTAACGAGTGCTATGCTAACAACAGTAGGCATGGCAGAAGGAGCACGAAGGGATGCGCTCGAGTTCACGCCGGTGAAGAGGATGGGCACGGTAGAAGAAGTCGCAGACGCAGCAATGTTTCTGGTGCTGAATGAATTTGCGAATGGGAGCCAGGTTGTGCTCGATGGGGGGCTTTCGGCTACGTAGTTTGGAGGTTTTTATAGACTATATCACACATAAAAGTTCCAGACTGCCGCTAGCATGTAACCCCAAGTTTGGAAAATACTCGAATGGTAAGCCCTGTCAGCTATGGGGGGTTGTTCTCGATGAAAACAATAGAGCTCCTCCACTTGGTCGCGGGAGACAGTGTATCATATCAGCAACCAAATGTTTTTCGTTGTTGATCTCCTGACCAGTTCACAAAATTACCGTACTCGTACAGCACCCCGCCTGCCGAAGTATCCATAAACCGAGTGATAAAGCGTGAACTGTCGGACCAAGGCCCCCCCTACGATATCACTTGCCCGAATCACAAGAACCCTAGTAACTTCCCAACCTTTAAACTCCACGCCGATCACTGGCTCATCCCAATTTCGCAGTAATTCATGTGCATGAAATCGGAACCAAGCTCGCCATAATTCCCCAACCTCACCCTTCCTCCCTCATTCCGTGGAGCCCGGTTTGTTACGGATATCCGGTGAGCACGGATGGTAAGTAGATGCTAACGCTCGTGCCGGGATTGCAGCGGCGAAAGTGAGGCCAAGGATTTATCGGGGAGCTCTGGACGTAGATGAGTAGGATGAACAGGAGTGTTCAAGGTGGGGGGATAGAAGAATATGGATATAATGTAGTCACCTTGCATACCACAGGAAAATAGCTCCTGATACGAAGTGGACATTGATAGGTTATCCTACCGTAGTATCATATTCGATTGTACGGGTAGTGTGAATCCTAGGAATGGTAGATAAACCCTCAGTGAACTGGGGGCCCATCGTATCATACTTGTGAGAAATCCAGGGGCAGGAAGGGGTCCTGAGCCGCAAGTGCTGTATGATAATATGATAAGCCGTTCCCGGACCCAACAGCAGCAGTTAATCCTCCCGCACTAACCCCCACACCCCCAACCCTCAGGGCACTGACTGCCATGCCAAGCCCAAATAAGGTTTTAAGCCTCATCCTGTCAACACAACCCAGCATTCGATTACCGGCAACAACGGTGATCAACCTCACACCTAACCCCATTTCGCCTTATTATTATCACCGCTGCCTGCTTCAAACAAACAAACGCAGGACCAAGACCAAGTGAATTACCATATTTGAAGAATGTCGGTCCCAGGCCTCCAACTCTCGGAACTCCCGATCGGTCAGCCATTCTCAAACTTCACGGCGCAAGACTCCACTCCGGCGGAACCGCTCTCGGAGCAGACGTATGAGATAGCAAAATTCCGGGAATGGCGGTTTGAGGTTGCGTTTGGCGCTACTGTTGAAGTGAAGGTATCTCCCCGGCCTCGCTTCCAAGGTGGAATGAAGAGAGGAGAAACTGATGAGAAACTTAGCTCTTAAAGGGAAGCGCCGAGATCTTCGGCACAGAGCTCCCGATCGGCCACAAATTCACCTTCACAGGAATCAAATCTGCGATTTTCACCTGGCAAGGCTGCGCCCTTGAGGTCCGCGGTAGTCCCAGTGTCGAGTACACCAGCGAGGAAACGCCCATGACTACATACACCAATCTGCACTTTGCCCTGGAGAAGCAGCGCGGGATGGCGGACGAGTCACCGACGGCGCAGGGGCCGAGAGTGATGATCATCGGGCCGGAGAACGCGGGGAAGACCTCGCTCGTGAAGATCTTGACGGCGTACGCTGTCAGGCAGGGGCGGAAGCCGGCCGTTGTGAACCTGGACCCGAAGGAAGGGGTGTTGAGTCTACCAGGGACATTGAGCGCCACGAGCTTTAGCACGATAATGGACGTCGAGGAGGGGTTCGGGAGTAGTCCTACTAGCGGACCGAGTCCCGTGCCTGTGAAATTGCCATTGGTGTACTATTACGGTCTGGAGACACCGGAGGGGAATGCAAAGCTATATAAGGCGCTAGTATCGAGAATGGCAGTAGCCGTATCCTCGAGGCTTTCAGAAGATGACCAAAGTACACGCCCCTTCTTCCCCCCCCCTCCGCGGACAAGGCTAACACAAAACGCCCCAAGACCGCTCCTCAGGCATAATAATCGACACCCCCGGTACCATCAGCCAAACCCCCGCCGGCTACGATCTCCTGCACCATGCCATCACCGAATTCTCCATCACGACTCTGGTGGTCCTCGGCAGCGAGCGGCTGTACAGCGACATGCTCCGGCGCTTCGAGGACCGCCCAAACCACCAGCACCAGCCGCCCCCAATCTCCATAATCAAACTCAGCAAGTCCGGCGGCTGCGTCGACCGCGATGACGCCTTCCTCCGCGCTTCCCGCGAGCGTTCCATCCGCGAGTACTTCTTCGGCGAGCCGAAGAAGCGCACGCTGAGTCCATACACCATGACCGTCGGTTTCGATGATTTGAACATCTGGCGCGTGAGCGAGGCGAGCACGCTCAATGCTAGCTTGCTGCCTATCGGCCATGACGACGATGAGGAGGATGGGGGTGGGGGTGGGGGGCAGGCATTGTTGGTCCAAGCGGAGTGCTCGATGCTGTTGCAGCATTCGGTCGCCGCGGTTTTGCATGCGGAGGTTGGGGATGAGGCGCATGTTTTGGCGGAGAGCTCGGTGATGGGGTTTGTTTACATGTGGGTTTTCTTTCCTTTCCTCTTCGTATTTTCCCGGTGGTGGTGGGATCGCGAGATATACTAACCATGACGATCGGCCGAATAGTGCATCCGTCGATGAACAAAAGCGATACATGAAAATCCTCGCTCCGATGCCCGGAAGACTGCCGCCAAAGCCGTTAGTCGTCTCGTCTTTCCCGGAACCTACTTTCAGTCTCGTTGGATGAAGAGAAAAATAATAATATAGAATATATATAAAAGCTTATGTTCCGTAATTAATGGTCATGTTACATCAGTACTGCAGTAATCCGAAACCTTTTCGTGTCATCCAATACCGTACACCAAATTCCTTCCTGGCGAAAAAGCGTTATATTATAGCTGATAGAAATGCCCATGAAAGAGCACCGTACCCAAACACAATGACGACGACGATGGCCTGTCACATCTTTTTATGATACACGGATGTACAAAGGAAAAAAACGATAACAGCTCGCAAGTAAAAGAACCAAATACACTACGCCTCTATGCCGTATCCGTAACCATTCTAGAAGCCTAATCACAAACCCCTACTTAGTTACTAGATCTGAGGATAGAAGGCTTGGAAGGAAGAGAAATGAAAAAAACAAACAAGGGAAATCGTGTTGCAAACCCTCCTTTGCAGAAAACCGGTCGTAAAAAGTGAAACAAGAAGTGAAAAAGGGAGAAGAAAAAAGGGCCAGATTTTCCCACCCCCAGGCCCTGGGTATCAAAACCGCCCATGACCTTGGAGGAAGTCATAGAAAGTACTCCACAACCGCTCCCGTATCCTGCTGTTGCGCAGCAGCGTCTCTATGCTCGCTATTCTCCGGTGCGGCCTCGAAAACATTATAATAGCGTGGTCCGTGGTAATCCACTTCGAGGACGCTGGCCAAGTTACCGCACCGGTAACAATAATTTGGTGCACTCCATACAGTAGATAATAGGCCATCAAATAGGAGTTGATACCCCTCCTGACATAGCTGATGAGCTCGGAGTATGTGGGATTGATTGTTCACTTCGAGGAACTTCTTGACGACTTGGGCACCAAAAGTGTATCCTGCACCTCTGGGTGATAACGAGAACTCGTCGCGATCAGGATCTGGGTCAGACCAGACTAGATCTGCCATGGGGCCTTCGTGGGGGATCTCTCGGAAGCGGTCAATGACCTTGATCTGATCGATTGAATGGATCGAGGGGGAGAGTCCTAGAAAAGGAAAAGAAAAACAATCAGACTACCCATAGCGGTTTTGTAGATAAGTGATCGCGATTGGTGGTGGCGGCAAACCTCCATGAACGCAGAATATATCATTATTAATCACGACACTCAAGGTGAGGAAATCGAACATGTCCGTAAAGTGACGCCAAACATTCGGACTCTCGTACTTTCTCGAGCACTCTGTATAAAACCCGTAGCTCTGCGTAACCCCCCTACTCTCATGATTACCCCTGATCAGGTAAACCCTCGAGGGCCACCGAAGCTTCAGACACACCAGTAACGAGATGGTCTCTACGGAGAATAAGCCACGATCCACGTAATCGCCAAGAAACAGGTAGTTTGTGTCCGGGCAGTAGCCGGCAATTTTGAAGATCTCTAGCATGTCGAAGAACTGTCCGTGAATGTCTCCGACAACGGTTACGGGGGCCATGATCTGTACAACGTTGGACTCGCTCATGAGTTGCTCCTTGAGTTTATTGCATATCGCCTCGATGACGGATTCCGCCAAGAGCTCTTTCTTATAGAGCCTTTCGATGCATTCATCCAAGTCGACGGAGGCTGTAAGGGGGTAACGCAATCGAGTGCGTTAGTTAGTTGGAAAATGTTCCGATGGCATAGTAGGGGGAGAGGGAGGGGGGAAGGTAAGAAGCTTTGAGGAGCGAAGTAGGTACCGGGTAGTCCAAGCATGTCCGGCTGGGACCCTTTATAATGGTGCGGGAGGAGGCAGGAGCAAGGTAGGTGGATAGATTAGTTGTCAAAAATAGTGGGAATCAGTTTGAGAGCTAGGAGGTGGAGGCGGGCTGATGGAGGAGATGGTGGTAAAGATGACTGGATTGGCGGGGGAGCGCATGGTTATCGATGGGGTGGGTTTTCAACGAATTCGATGAGCATCAGAATTGATACATTGGCCGTGCATTTATCAGTGATCATCAACCGACCATGGATAAATATTTGGGGAATGCCATTTTCATTTACCCAAGCACCTCTTGCTATATACCTGGTATTCGCTGTATCAAATTTGGAATCTCGCCACTGTTACCATGATACTAACTCTAAAGCATCTTCAACATTTTGTAAGTTATTACAGGAATGTTAACTATAGAGCACGGTAGAAATTATTTTCACCGCTGTATAATATCTCCAGTCACCGTGTGATATGACTGGTGTTGATTATTTCCATATACAGCAATGGAGTGGCCAAGAGACACTGCTGGTTGGCAGCTGTTGCCACTTGCACTTGCACCTGCTTCCCTGCGAGGCCGACACCGTGCTGTAACACTGTAGCTGCGAGGCTTCGTCTGTTGTTGCTGAATGTTGTTTGCTGCTGCTTTCTTCATGCTAGTGTCACATAAATGATGATTGATTCGAGTCGTGGCCTGCCTTTGTCTGCCTCTATTTGAGCACTGGCGGGTTGCAACTGCGAAAATGCATCCTTCTCCTCCTCCTTGCTCTTCTCCTTCCTTCCGAGTTTTCTCCTGCTCCTCCTCCTCTCCTATTTCTCCCCTCCACCTTCTTCCCCTCACCCACTTCCTCTTTCTCTCCTGCCAGCGCATACGTACTTGTTATCACAGAAATAAGGCTCCAATATCTTCATCCCTCAACTCTCAAACTGAATGGTTACAGCTATTCCTTCCATGATTATGTTGATTTGTCTTGTCTTACAACCATCAAATTTACTACAGATATCGATAAAGATACGCTGCTCTACCATCTCTTTAAGGTCGACAGTTCCATGGGGAAATGCTTTTCCCAAAATATCCTGTCCTTTCGCTAGTGTTTATCCGCAAGGCTCAAAGGTGTTCCTGTCATTATGATTGCTGCTGAGACGATGATTTGATCGGTCTACTACTCCCCCCCCCTGTTCTACCGCTACTGTTTAGGGGCGCTTCCCTCTTCCTCTTCATTATTTTCATTATTTTTCTTTGCTGCTGGGTATCATAAAATTCCACAATGTCTGTTTAGTGTTTGTTTTTCTTCTGTTCCCAATCTTGTTCACTATCCCTCTGGCCTTATTGGTTGTGATCCTTATCCAGCCATCCAATATCAATCATCTTATTTACTGTGCACTCACTCATCTCCCACTGTTATTATTACCCTGACGTATTCTCGACTCCCTCCCACCTTGAATATGGCATGCAGCAAGCAGAAAAGATTTGAAAACTGCTGTTGGCACTGAGTAGCCAAAAAAGAAAAAAAGAAAAGAAAAGAAAAGAAAAGCACCCTTGCAAGAAGAAAAGCCCTCTCAAATCCCGTTGCACCTCCAAGCCCTCGTGCTGTTTTAAGCCATTTCATATTTGAGTTTCCGAGATTCTTCGGGGCTTTGGTATATCCTGATCGCCCGATAGACTGAGTGGAGTATCGGTGGGATCAAAAAGAGGAGTCGGAGGAGGAGTTAGAAAAGCTGAGAGCCTGGGTTTTCCCGGTCTTGGCGCAAAGCTTAACGCGACTTCCCCCCAAAGTTCTTCCTGAGCCATCTCTTTGCTTCATCTGCTCTGTCCGCCAGGTGCTCGCCAGGTCTTCGTCACTTACTCTAGGTTCCTCTTTGGAGAGCCCCACGGCTTTCACAGCTGCGATCGTTCACTTGTATTATGGACCTGACCACGCCCTTTGATCGAACCTGAGCTTCTGACCCGCTCCCCTCTCGTGCGTTTCAGACGCTTTTCTCGGGTACTATTAATCGTTCCTTGTTCCCTTCCATCGTTTCCTATCATCTTTCTCCCCAACCCTCTACGCCATGTTATAACCCCTTCACCCGGAATTAGCGCTAACTATTCGGCCCCCAGGTGGTCCCGCCCGAGACTCTGATTGTTTCTTTCTTCATCCTCTATTCCAATTACAGAATCGGGTATCATCTCTGGAAGTTTTCAGGATGAACGTACCAC